CATTCTCATTTTCTCTCCTTTTTTCCTCTTCCTCGACCGAAAAGAAAGTGAAAAATGATCTTACAGCGTATGATTTCCTGCTACACAAACACCAATTTTCTCCTGAAACAGCTTCACAAGTTGCCTCTGTTTTAACCCGTATAAAGAATCCGGAAAAATCTGATTCAATATTATCGTTCCTCAAAGAGAGTGGTTTTTCAAAGAGTCAGTTGGAGAGAGTCGTGAAAACTATGCCTGCTGTGCTTGCTGCAAGTCTTGAGAAAACCATCAAGCCCAAATTCAAGATTTTCCAAGATATGGGCTTTTCTGCCGAAGACATTGCTGAGATTATCTCAAACGATCCAGAAAATTTGCATCGCAGTGCAGACAGTAGGCTCAGACCGTCATTATTGGTGTTGAAAAGATTATTGGGATCTAGTGCAGAGGTAACTAAGGTTTTAAAGATTTCTGGTTGGTACTTGAGTCGCGATTTGGAGAAGAGTGTGGTACCCAATGTTGAATATTTGAAGAGTTGTGGTGTAGGCATGGAGCAAATCATAAAGAATATGTATAAATTTCCAAGGTTTCTCGTGTATAGTCCAAAAAATATGATAAGTTCTGTTAAAATTGTTGATGAGATGGGGACTTGTAGAAGTTCCAGATTGTTTATTCATGCTGTTCAGGTTGTTGGTTCAATGAGCAATGAGACTTGGGAACTCAAGTTAAGGCATTTTAGGAATTTGGGGTTTTTGGAAGATGATATTTTGAAAATGTTTCAAAAGGCTCCTCGGGTATTTTCTGCCTCACAGACGAAGATAAGCAAGGTAGTAGAGGTTTTACTTGCAACCGGGAAGTATGATCTTTCGAGCATTGTTAACAGTCCAGTATCATTTACTTGCAGTGTTGAAAAGAAGATTATACCAAGAATGCAAGTTTTAGGGATTTTGGAGAGTAAGAATTGGATTGGAAAGTGGCCTAGTCTTTCAACTATTACTAAAATCGCAGATAGCAAATTTGTGGAGAAATTTGTTCATCCTTATTTATATGAAGTGGGAGAAGTATATATGGCAAATAGTGCACTCAACATAAAAAAATATGAAAATTAGTATTAAGAAAAGAGTCAACTCAACATGATTGTAGACGCCTATATAACTCGAACTTCCTTTCGAACTTGGGTAAAGGAGGAGGCTTGTGTACATTGACGACCAAATCGTCATTAAATTTCACTGGGGCATCTGGAGTAAGTTAATAGAATGGAATGGAGAAAACATATATTTAGCTGACCTCAAGTTTATTTTGATGGTTGATGGTGTGATGGCTTATGGAATCTGGTTAAAAATGAATAGGTACTTTCCCTATGCACATTTCCTTGTATCTATTTTGTATTCCTGCTTTTTCAATAGATGGTTTCAAATGAATTATGCCTTCCTTTTCGAGCCCGTTTGAAGTAAGATAACATCGCTTATATAATGCTGTTATTAACAACTATTTGTATGGATATATTTTTTTATTTGTCGTCTTTACACTTGTGCAAATGCACATAAAACAATCTCTTCTTAGTCTCTTGGCTTTCTTCCTTTGCCGTACATTAGGTGATTTGATTGGGTCAAAGTCAAACAAAAGTAGAATCGAGAACTCTGCCATGAGACTGAACTTTAGCTAGTAAGGGCTGATTCTTCAGTATTTAGTACAAACAATTTGAGTGCTGAGATTTCTATTTTGTATTGTATAGAGAACAAAGAAAATAAGAATTCTTCCTTTAAGTTCATAGTAGGCTCATCGGTCGAAATCTTTGTTTGATCTTCCTGGTGGCCATATTTTGATCGATGTTTGTTTTATCCAGTAACAATAATGTCATGCTTTCGAGACGAAGCTAGAAGCATGGCCGTGGTAACCCTAAATATAGATAAATTTTACGTGGGAATTAGCTCAGATAGCCTCTATACTTGGCTACTTGATAATTGTAGCATTTGACTCAAATTTTGAGAGGGAAAAAACCTGACCCAAGATATAATGTTATTTCAAAATTAATTTGTGATTCCTTAGGTTTTGAATTTTTGAGTTTAACATCATTTTCTGCAATTTTTCATATGAAATGCATTCCTTAGGTTCTCTTATAAATTCACGGCCCAACAGATGCATAGGAGTGTTGATATGGTACTTAAGATCAAGATTGCCATTTCTTTACATATTTTGGTATTTTCAAGAACCAATTTAAATCAATAGATTATCAACTGAACTATGGTGCATTTTTGGCTCTACGTACTTTCACAAATAAGCTGTCCAAGACTAATTATTGTACATGTTTCTTGACATGGAAATTATGTCTAACGTTTGTTTCTTGGTAGAGACGTCCAATTGGTCTTTTTTTTTTTTTTTTAATTGAAAAGGCATTAATGTCCTTCCTTCTACAAACAATGCTTGGCTAGGACTTTCTTTTTCATATACATAAAATTAATAAAATAAGCCAAAAATGAGTTAAAAAAAAAAAAAGAGCCAATTCACTAGCTTGGATTTGCCCTAATGAGAGTCGAACTCGACTTGTCTACAAACAATGCTTGGCTAGGACTTTCTTTTTCATATACATAAAATTAATAAAATAAGCCAAAAATGAGTTAAAAAAAAAAAGAGCCAATTCACGAGCTCAAGGCAACCTAGATCGGCTCGACCTATAGCTCGTCTGAATATGAACCGAGTAGCCCATCGAAGCCAACCAAGCCTGTGCACAATCATAAAAATAAAAGATATATGGGAAAATCTATATGTACACAATAAACTACCGAACCTGTTACATAATGATGACGTGGCATTTTCTTATGTCAAAATCTTGGCAATGTCACAAATCCAAAATATTATGAAAATATCGCCACGTCGGCACATGAATTTTAAACCCTGCCCAGTTTTAACTCACACTTCCCCTCTCCCGATTTTCCCCATTTTCCCCAAATCAAACTCATACCCACTTTCAACTCACACTCCCCCCTCACGATCTGCACCAAATTTTGAAATCACGGCGGCACATCTACCACCAGTGAAGTAATTTGGCCAGCACATTCTCCAGTTGGTTCGTTTCGTGTGTAAGAGACACCTTAATGCATTAATGCCTTCGTCTGCCCTGTCGCCAAACCTAAAATCACCCATGCCCACCACCGGCCAGTATTATCTCTGAAAATCTTTGGGCTTTACTTGCTATTTGAAAAATCGGTGCGTATTTCCGTTTTGAACGAAGTTGTTTTCCTTCTGGCGCCAGATACTTGGGCCAAATTGTGGACAATGCTACATTAAATGGATGGAGGTGGAAAAGCAAACCGATAACAAAATGTCGTTTGTTCCACTGTTGTTCCTGCGACGTCTGTCGATTTTTCGATTAGAATAAATCTCCTCCCGACGTAGCATATCCGTCGCAAGATGAAGGCCAATCAAGTGGCATCGCCAATGGTAGTGAACCTATTGATGATTTGTCACGTATGTTGGAAACGTGTGCGAACATAGCCGATAAGAAGGACATTGAAATTTCCCTCAACATCATAACAATGCGTAAGGGGAAATGAGGTTCGGAAGATGTTCTATGAACTTTGATG